AAATGGGCAAATGGAACTCGAACCTATCAAAACCTAGGAATATGGTGGGTACTTCTTTGATGAGACTTCAGATCAGATCCCTAATGCACTTATGTCCAAATCACTCCTGAAGGCACACCAATACTTCAGGATTTTGAAATTTCTCAATTCTGTTCCAGTGTAGATACTAATATTACCTCGATTTAAGGTATATAAATTGGTATCCCAAGCTAGACTGAGTTTTCTTTTTTCTTGGCTGTTCGAAATTTGTATGTTGACACTTTTCTTCTTCTGATCTGTATTTATTGTTCACAAAGCCTTTACACAATTATAACATAATATACTTCCACCAATCCAGAATCTGTTTCACATTGAAAAGGACATTTTGACTGCTCCCACTCAGTGTTCTATATGACACTTTTAAATTTTACAAAAAGTGTAAAAAAAAAAAATATAAACCACCATCATGGATACTCATTCTCAGGGCCATCTTTAATATGTATTGGACCCTGGGCAAACATTTGCTTGGGCCCCCTGAACCCTCCCTGGCATGCAATCATGCCCCCCACCCCAACGCAGAGGCGGACGTAAAGTAGAGAGGGCTCTGGTGCATTAATTATTTTGGGCAAGAGGGGGCAAAAGGTAGATCCCCATCTGTCATGCAACTCCAACAATGCTTTGACAGCTGGGGCGCTACCATTTTCCCATGCATGTAGGGTTATATTTAGCACTGAGCAGTATTTGTGTGTTTGAGTGTAAGCATGTTTTTGTATGGAGTATGTTTGTGTGAATGTAGGGGTGTGTTTGTATGTGGAGATGGCATTTAAATGCAAGTATGCATTTATGTGTAGTGTTGGTTTATGAATACACTGGTGTGTTTATCTATAATTTTGTTGTTTAAAAAAAGAGGTGTGTTTATATGTAATGTTGAAGTTTGAATGCAGGTGTGTATTTGCGTGTAGTGTTGAATGCTGAGATGTATGCACAAATACACATGCACTGTCACAAACACACACACACACACACACACTGTGATACACATACACACACAGAAACACTTGCAGATACACAGATATACACAATCATACAGATGCAGCTATACAGACACATTTACACACACTGACACACACACATGCAGACACACAGATGCACACACGCAGATACACTGACAACATACAGATAGACAGACACACAGATACATAACCTGACAAATGCAGATACAAACACTGACACACATGCAGATACACACATTGGCTACATACAGATACATGCACAGGTATACACACTGGCGCACACACACACAGATACATACATACTGACAACATACAGATACACACTGACACACACACACACACAGACACTGTGACAGACATACTGACTGGCACACCGACATACACAGACATACACTGACACACAGACATATACTGACTGACACATACATACTGACACACACACAGACAGACATACAAACTGACACACAGACAGACATACAAACTGACAGACAGACATACAAACTGACAGACAGACATACAAACTGACAGACAAACTGACAGACATACAAACTGACACACACACATACATACAAACTGACACAGACAGACATACAAACTGACGCACACACAGACAGACAGACACTCTTCAGTTTCCTACCTTTGAAAGAGGCTTCCTTCCCTGGGGTCCAGTGTGCTGGCTGGGGTAGTTGGGAGTTGTGGGTCTGGCTCTTCTTGCTCCCCCTCCTCACTGGATGCTGGCTCAGCAGCCTCCCGGGCGGCCCGATGTCTTTGAGGTGGGAGGAAGTGATTCGCGGACGTCACTTCCTCCCATGCAGCTGTTAAGCAAGAGGCCCGGTCGCGCTGTTAAAGGGCCACAGCGCCGACCAGACCCCAGCTGGAACATGCTCACTGGGTGGCCCTAAAGGTATGGGCCACCCGGTGGGCCCCCTTAGTGTGCGGTCCCCAGGGCAGCCTCAATACTAGCACCGCGGGCCCATTAGATAGGGAAATAGTAAAAAAAAAAAAAAAAATTTATTGCAGGCGACGGGCCCCACGGGGCAGCTGCTTTGGGCCCCCCATGAGTAACTGGGCCCAGGGCAGCTGCCCCGTTTGCCCCTCCTTAAAGACGGCCCTGCTCATTCTGCCTCTTGTAATGACTTTGAGATAGATTTGTCATAGCTCAGTTTGCAATCCGTTCTCCAAAGAGAACTTCCAGATTCTAAATTAATTGAAATGATGACATTTCCAAGTGTATTAATGCATATAATACTTAGGCAGCAGTTTAATAGTGACAATGCTATATAGAATCACCTGCTAAAAACAGGTAATCTTAATTCTTATAAAGATCATGGAATGAACTTTTTTTTTTACCCAGGGCCAGCAGTTTATAAAATGTGCCTTTAAAATGTAAATGATTTTAAGAGGTTTACAATGGCTTTGTCATCTGAAATATGCTTTACATTAACCAGGGTAAAATGATGTTCACAGCAGATCTATGGTTTCATACATTATAGCAAACATGGCCATAAGTATTATTTGAGTATAAGATAGGTATTTTTTTTCCCCAGGTGAGAGAAGCCACACTGAAATTAGTGCATGTGGAGTTAACAGATATTGAGCCAGATCCTGGGATTTCCCAAGTTCAATTAAATTACTTCCATCTGTCTAACGTAAACGGAAAATACAATTCAATATCTACACTGTCTGGTGTAAAACGCCAATGAGGAATCTAGGTTAGGTAGAAGACTTTTTTTTTTTTTTTTTTATACAAATTTAATAAGCAAAAATAATGCTGAGCAGATTTAAAAATAAAATAAAAGAGAACTGCCACTTCCCAGTTTTTTGTTTGTTTTTTTAACTATATTTACTGATCCCTAGATTTAACAAAAATGTGTTTTGTATTATGTTAAAAATATAATTTAAATGTAGAAATTCCCACCTGGTTATTTCTCCATTTTGGTCCCCCTCCAATTAGTTATAAGCTCTGTCCTTTACACTTGAGAAATAGCCTAAAGAAAAGTAGAGGTAAAGATAAATTAAACTGTTTCTATTTTCCTCTTCATTTGCAATGTTTGCCAAGGCTTTGTCTTGTTTGAAGTGGATTATGATGTCGACTGCTAAGTCTTTAACATAAATTTTGAGGAAAAACTGAGCCTCTCTTAGAGGAAATGTGAACACTAGTAATAGGTGGTTTTCAAAGTTGTATTAAATGGTATAAATTTCAGAGAAGTGATAGTTCCCCTTTAAGATATAGGCAATCTCTTAAAATTTACACAATGGTGCAAAGAAAACCTCTGATGACACTCACTTTAACTGAGTGCATCCAGCTTTATAAATAAGTGGTGCATGATTTCAGCTGAAGATGCGTAAGCCCAGACGATAAACAAGAAAAAACACTTATTGTACCGCACACTAAGCTAAGACACAGTGTCTGGTCTATTTGTGAACACACCACAGTGAAATCTGGGCTCATTTGTTTGTTTTTATAGAAATGTAATGCATTTTTGAGTACATCAACAGTAGCAATTGGCTATGGCTTTCTTGACACGGACAGAGGGATGGAAACTATTATAAATGATGAAGAATTATAAAAATACAATAAAAGAACTAATTGTATGATGTAACCTGAGATCAGTTTTTTTGTTTTTTTTTGTAGTTTTAATGAGCCCCATTTGTAAGTTAATTGGTTTAAACATTTACTCACAGTCTTCCATTGGCTTCTTCTGAAAAATATAATGTTCATACAATCTTCATTAACATGAAGTTGACCCGTTCAGGAACTACAGTTCAGTTCCATATTATAGTACATAGTGGTTCCTTTTTTAGACTTTTCATGTAGTCCAATGTGCTCATAAAAGGGAATGTTCTTCTTGGTAAAAATCTACCACCAAAAATCCCCAGTGAAACTACTCCCAGGTGTTGAGTCCATCAAGCTCTAGCAATCTTTTGTCCATATTTCTAGATGATTCCTTTCTGTAAACATCTTGGTTTCCGGTGGCCCAACCAGCAAGTCAACATGATGAAGACCAAGAATATGGAGAAGAAGACCATAAGTCCAACATAAACACCATGGGACAATGGAGGTGAAGGAGGCAGTTCAGCTGGTATCATGTTGGTCAGGTTTAGCATATAGCCAAGAGTCCACCCTGCATCACTTCCACTGATCTGTAGAAACAAATAGGTAAGTAGAATTTTTACGTACTACACAGAGGTCTGTTAAGTAAACACTAAACGACCGCAAAGTTCAGGTCAGGTTGCTTTTACGTTGCCACAATCTTGAACTGCATGAGAGCGTGTCTACTTCACCGAACATCAACTTACCTTCATAGTTGTTCAATAAACTCCAAATTTCAGTGAATTTAAATTTTAAAGGCATAAGATATGCTATTATAGAGGCTTGGAAACTATCAGTTTTTACTAATACTTGCAATTATTTTTTTTACCTAAAAGTTCTCATTTGGATTTTAATTCACTACATTTTGATCTTTAGTGAAGAACTTTGATGAGGTATACAATGTGTTCCTCTTGATCTGAACTGCTCAGGACAGGTCTTGATGGACTTGCCAAGAACACAGATAGTTCATGTAAAATTGTACTTAGTCTCACATTAATTCCAAGGTTACAATGGGCACTTTAGGAATTAGAACTATTTCATCTCATTGAATTGGTCATAGTGCCTAGAGTTTAACACTAAATAAGGGTCCCTGGCCACACATAGCCCTGAAGGTGTGACTAAGGTAAATATTACACATTTCCATCTAGCCATACCAGTTCATACCAGCAATAGACGCTGTAATAGGATGAAAGCAGTCAGCTGACACTTTCAGCTCAATCACAGCTACCCATTGCTGCTCAGGCTAATACTTCCTCATTAGCCTCAGCAGCCCAGGGGGTGTACTGCTGAGAATTCTGATTTAACATAAAAAAAAAAAAAAAAGAAAAACTGTTTAACACCGAATGGAAGTTTGGCAGCAAGAGACTCCAGACACTGTAACCACTTCAATGAAATTAATCAGATATAATGCCCCTTTAAGGCCTGGTGTACTGCTGAGAATTCTGATTTAACATAAACAGTTTTTCTTTTTTTTTTTTTTTTTTTTATGTTAAATCAGAATTCTCAGCAGTACACCAGGCCTTAAAGGGGCATTATATCTGATTAATTTCATTGAAGTGGTTACAGTGTCCGGAATCTCATGCCGCCAAACTTCCATTCGGTGTTAAAAAAAAAAAAAAGAAAGAAAAACTGTTTAACACCGAATGGAAGTTTGGCGGCATGAGATTCCGGACACTGTAACCACTTCAATGAAATTAATCAGTTATAATGCCCCTTTAAGGCCTGGTGGATGAATTCATAACTCTAGGTCTTTAGTACATAGTCTCTATAGACTGAGCTGGATTTTCCTTGGCAGGAAGTAATGGATGGCAGCCCAGACAGAGGCCTGGAGGCAATTTTAAGTGCACATTTCTAAATGTAATTGAACCTGAAAAAGACACTCGCACAATCTCTCCTTCTCTCCCCTGTTGGCTTTATAGATGGAGCTGCTTTGTGTACATGTTCTAGGTACACAGGCTAGTTCCCTTCGCTATACTTTATGAGAAGGAGAAACTTTGTAAAGGAACACTCCAGCATGCTGTAGGGGTGCCCCCCATTGTAAGAAGTCAATCCGTTTTAAAAAGATTGGACTTTACCTTGGGTCTTACTGGGCACTGCGTTCTGCTTCCACTACAGCCTCCGTGAGAGCTGAATGTTCTCTGCCTGAGCCAGGTCCAGCAGTGCAGGGCTTCGCTCAGGAGAATTAATGGAAGTTCTAGACTTTGGTACTTCCGGCTCTCTGGTATTAGTAGTGGAGGTGAGTATTGGTGCCCGGCAGAGCCCCGAGTAAAAAAACTGTTTCACTAACTTACAATGGGGGGGAACCAGGGCACGCCTGGTACTATAGTTATTAGAGCAAACTGTGCTAAAAAAAAAAAGTGTAAGTAGCGACCTAGCAATAAAGTTTTGGTGACTGCATTTTACTATGAGACTAGCCATCCTATTTTATCCCCATTGCATTTTAAATATGATAAAACACACACACACACACACACACACACACAAAAGTTAAATAAATACCCCCTAAACGTGCACATGGAACATAAACCCCCAATTTAGTTGTCGGTTTTTAGGCTGTTCAAATTTCTAGAAAATGTTTACTCTTCATGAAAACTGAAAACAAATATAAACACATCAGACACGCAAAGGTAAAATTCTAGGTGAATTTCCAAAAACAAAATAAAAAAGTCCCCCAGTCAGCTGTGCTACTTTGGCCTTTAATTTTAAATTCACTTTGAATTCCATATAATTCTCCCTTCAGTAATTAATCCTGAGAAATGGAAACATTTGTAATAATACAAAAAGAAAACATTAAAATGTTATTACCTTTCCTAAAAAGCTGATATCTTTCCAATTGTCTGCATTAAATCCATATCCAAGTTCAAGGAGAGTTATGATGTATGCTCCAGAAAAACAGTATTCACTTAGATATTTCACCTTTATTTTTGGAAACTCTGTCTTCACCTTAAAAGAGAGCAAAGCAAAGTTTAAACAGTTTGTTTTTATTTAGAAGATAGCTGCGCCCATGAGGAACCGGTTCATGGAAGTAAATCTCACCTATACCTCCTCGACCACCATCCCACCAGTGGCGATATCAAATTCTGCAAAATCCCTAGACTAGATGGTGACAGCGCCGATTTAAACACTAAATGAGTCCCACTCTCTGCCTATAATGTCTTTCTTTTTCTCTATCCTTGATTAACAGTTTATCCAAGGCCAAAACTTGTTTTTAGTTTGAAAAAAAAAAACTTGATTTTTAAAAAGAAGGGTCCCTCAAAATCCAACTTGAGACATGCTGGTGATATGTAACACTAATGTTATTATATGTCCAAAAAAAAAAAAAGTTTTACTACACGTGGTTAAATCATTAAAAAAAAAAAAGATATGCATGTATACTTTTTATAAAATACATTTTCAGAATGAGACACACAAAAAATATTTTACTGTTTGAAGATGGGTGGGGATGCCAAGTACATTTCCGTCCCGGGTGCTATGTAACTTAGGCCCGACTCTGGTCAAAGCATTTTACAACATGCCTGCTTCCCTACAGCCACAAACCGGCACCTGGATTCTCATACAAGGAGAATCTACTTAATTCCGCTGAGCTATTACTGGCTGAGAGCAACAGCTGAGCCTGCTCATCCAATGAACACGGCCCTGTAATCTCGCCACACTTCGCTCAATGGAGACAGTTTTGCTTCTCTTGGAAAAGCTAGATGAGGTGTGGAAAAAAATAGTTGACTACTATGGGAGGGCACCAGTGGTACCATAACCTCTACAGTGGGCTGTAGTGGTTGTGCTGTTTTTGAGTGTTGCTTTAAAGTAATTTTTTTGTAAGTCTTTACTTGCAAGTCTTTCGTCCAATTCCATTGAATATCATGGCATTTTAAGCCAATACCCCTAATTGTTGAAACTTCAAAGCAATGACAGATTGAGAATAAAATGTCAATTATCAAGTGTTTGCATCTTTTAGCTTACAGACGGCGCATACTGTTTAATAATAAACGCATTATGCTGCACAACTTTAGAATTTAGTTTTATTTTGCCATCTGTGATCATTAGTTAGTCAAGCTTAACCATGGAAAATCGCCAGCAGATAGTGTAGCTAAACGCCAATAAATAGTGTACGGTCTACCATAGTACGGATATAAATAAAAAACGTCTATTGAGATCTCGGCTCTTCCAATCAAATCTTTGTTTCTAATCTCTAATAACAGCTATGATCCAATCTGCTCTTTTATGGTTACATTATACAATTATCCCTTCTAATTAGTCTTTAATGGTCATGTCCAGTCTTTTGCTTGGCTTTATTACACGTGAGAGCTGCTTCTATCTTAATTTACTTCTGCAAAACTCTGCTACCTGCGGTATGGATTCAGTCACCTGATCTAAACTAAGACTTGGAATTAAGCAAATATAGATGCCTAAGTAGTGGGTTAACTTTAAGAGGTGATTTATCATATGGTAAGACACCCAGCAAAGAACTATATATATTATTAATACTAAGAAAGATTTAATTTTGTACAATGGGATTTTTTTTTTCTCCTGAAAAATTTCCTGAAATAACACCATTTACATTAAATTGAATGTTAGGTTATAATATAGGTAATATGTCTGGCTACTGGCCTGTGAGGATTGGTTAACTTGCTGTCCTACAAAAATGTTACGTAAATAAAGGCTTCTATGGGTCTACTTTAAAGGCACCCTACAGTCGAATTCCAAACAACATTAGATTTATGAAGTAGTGTTGATGTATAGATTATGCCTCTGCAGTCTCACTTGTAAATTCTCTGTAATTTAGGAGTTAAATCACTTTGTCTATGCAGCCCTAGTCACACCTCCCTGCATGTGACTTACACAGCCTTCCTAGACATTTCCTGTAAAAAATCATCTAATGTTTACACTTACTTTATTGCAAATGCTGTTTAATTTAAAATGTCTTATCTCTTGCTCTGTTAATAGCTTGCTAGACCCTGCAGGAGCTTCCTGTGTGTGATTTAAAGTTCAATTTACAGGGCAGGAGATAAAGTAACTTACATCTGATTGAAAACGAAATAGTTTTGTTTTCATGCAGGCGGTGCCGGTCACAGCTAGGTGAGGTGTGGTTAGGGTTGTATAAACAGAAACAAAAGTGATTTAACCCCTAAATTGCAGTGAAACTTCAGAAGCATGATCTATACACAAAAACGTCTTCATTATGCTAAAGTTGTTTTGGTTACTATAGTGTCCCTTTAACAATAAATACCGATCAGGAGAAATAAAATTTGGCAACCTACAAGTTTTGAACAGCCACGAAAAGTATTAAACCTGCAACCCACTACCATACTCTCAACACTGTGCGGTATAATTAAAGCGTCACTCTAAACATAACCACTACATCTTCTTATGGTTCATTCAGCTTTTTTTTTTTCTTTTCTTTGTGCAAGGCTGTCTCCCTCTCCTATCAATCAGATGGCTAGAATATTTTCCTGATGAGCAGTATCACACAACATGCTAACTCCAGACACTTTATGCAGAGGACAGGGAGGGAATGCCACCCTTTTGGGAATTTATGTTCTATCAACCAGAGTGCAAGACGTTGCCTGTGCCTGCTGGACTACACCGCCTATCAAGCTGTTGGGAGTTGATATACAACTCCACTCGACCTAATCCAGTGCTTTATAATTTTACATAGCAAATCACTACTTTACTGGTTGGACACACAAACATGAATGCTTTATTAATGCCTTTAAGCTTTCCTCTTGTCTTCTTTATCACACTTCCTTCTAGATTGTAAGCTTTTTTGAGCCAGGACTTCTTCACCTATCTGTTGACCTATTTGTTAACATTCATCTTGTCTCTCAATTACCTGCTGTTCTATATTCCCACTGTAAACTAACACATTTACTTTATGATTTACAAATGACCCATTTCTAAAAAAACAAAACAAACCAGAAATAAGCTGTTCTGCCCAGAAGTAGGGGAAGTTTGAAAAGAAGTATTGACCATTCATCATCCCAAGTACATCGAACAGCAGGTTTGCCTTGATGTGGCAGGTGTACTTACTATTTAATGACCATTTTATGTGTTACTAAAAACTTCTGTTTCTACCTATCTATTTCAGGATAAACAACAGAGCACTTTCTTACTTCATCCCATGGTCTTGAACAGTGTTGTTGGATCCTCTCTTTCACTTCGTCCAATGTGGCCTTTTCCTGGGTAAGCTTTAAAAAGTCCATCACAAAATAGAATGCAGAGAAAGCCTGGAGTGAATAAAAAATGAGTTAGTAGGAATACAATGTTGCTTTTATGTTGACAAGTCTTATTGTCATCTTGTGTGATAAAGAAAAACACTGTTGACCAAGTGTATCATCCCCTTATTCAGGGCCAGATTTACATGTTTGGTGTCTGTAGGCACAAAACAATTCTAAGGAGCCTCCTATAAAGATTGCGAAGATATGAGGCTGTAAGGAGATGTTTTGCCAGTGTATGGAACATCTTCTTTCTCTGACAGAGTGCCTGGTGGAGAAGAGGTGGCATTAGTCCAAATCTACAGGGCCTATTGGA